CCCCTCCCCCGCCTCTGCCCGTTCCCCATATCATCCCATTTTTCCTCAAGGGATACCGCAGTGTTTTTGCTCTCGCGATGCTACTTGTTGTTGAGACTCACCGAGAAGTGGTGCGGTGGCGAGCCGCCGAGGTTGCCTCCGCTCCCGGCCTGAAACACGAGACGAGAGAGGAGTTCAAGTCAGTCCCGGCATACACTGGGCCCTTGAACCAATGGGTACAGACGCACTGTAAAAAGTTTCCGTGATTCTTAGAAAAGAAATGTATACAAAAATATATCGTGAGTTTTTGAGTGATAAAACATTGACAAAATATATACAAATTTCATACTCTAATTAGGGCTTTAGAAGCAATTCGTAAAATGACAATGTATCGTAATTTGTTGAAAAACAAAGTTTTCGGTATAGAAAATTGGCCTAGAAGATTTCGTAAAAAAGCGCGTCAATTTATTTTTACAGTGCGCCCTTATTTAGAACCTGAAAACAAAACAGAGAAATGCGGCCGAAACCAGGCCAAACACGACACGACACAAAAAGGGGGCTGCTTTTTGGTTTCCCTTGCTTATGTATTCCTCTTCCGCTGCAACCCCGGTGGAGGAGGCCACAGGCTGTTGCACGCCCCCCGGCCCCGGCCCCGCCGCCGCGACCTTTTCCTCCTACAATTGCAGTACTTCCCGCCCCGCCCTCAGGACTTGCCCACTGAAGCGCGCCTCCTCCCCGCCTCGCGACTTGTTCTGCCAACTCCTCACTAAGTATTTTCCGTTTCCTTTCTCTCGTCGTCTTGGGGAGGAGACTCCTGCTCCGCAAAACCCGGCCAAGCGAGTTATTCTCTCTCTCTCTTTCCCCCTTTTTTTTCCCCCGAGGTCTGTTTCATCCTCTTGGCGTTGGAAGAATAAAAAGAAGAGAAACGAGTGAAAGGAATACGTGGGTGTAGAGAAGGGAGGAAAAAAAACAGCGGGGTCCGAGGAGGATGGGAGGGGGAGCGATAGAGCAGAGAGACTCTGAGCAGCGGAGGGGCGGGCGGTGAGTTTCCGGGAGGGCCCGCCAGGGGGCTGCACGCTCCGGGCTGCGCGCGGGGGGTGGTGACCGCCGCCGCGGTGCTCGCCGCCGCCGCTACCCCGCGAGCCGGGAGTGGCCCCAGAGGCACGGGGTGGTGACCACACGACACAGCTTCCCGCCTAGCTATATACTACATCCAGACGACGGCGGACGCAATGTTAATTTTAATGTAGAGGCGTTTCTTTACGTCTCGTCCACGTCAAGTCGACTCGCTTTTGTAGGCGAGTATTTAAGCACCTACCACTAAGAGAAATTCTTGCAAGGATCTCAGGAAAATTTCCCCAGAGGTGTGTCGGAAAATTACAATTTAAATTTGAAAAATTACAAGCACCATGAGTCGACTGGGAATTCATAGACAAGCAAGAACAGGCGGTCGTAATTTTACAACAAATTTTGCAAATCTTAAATACAAAACATGTTTTGTATTGCATATTTTGTACATGCATGTCTGTAAATTTGCGAAAGATATTTCTCAACGTGACATAAAAAAAATGTCATTCAATAATAAAAATGAGACAACCACGGACACAGAGGCTGCTGCGGTCACTGCGGCCGCTGTGCTGTGTGCATCTGTATGCAAAAACAAACGACGATAGGCATAATTAATTATTCCCGCGACTGTATGTAGCTCAACGGCCAGAGCCAATCGTCTCCCAGCAAGCAGTTGCCGGCCCGCCCCGGCCTAGCAACATGGTTCATGTAGGGGATGATACAGCGACCACCCCTGGCCCCCGGCCCCTCCCCCGACCGCAGCGCAGGAATGCGGCCGCCGTCGTGCTGGATGTCACGGATGACGGCTTCTATAACGTGGGGACCGCGGCGGCCAGGGGAGTCGTATGAACAGAACAGACTCCTGCGCCCCCGAAATAACTGGGTGCCGGCGACTAAAGAGAAATTCTTGGCTGGACCAAAAGTCACCCTGGAAAACAAGTTTTCTATGGCGGGATTTGTACCAATGCCATGCATCCACGCAACAAAAAGGCGGATCTAAAAGCGGCTCAGCGCTGCTCAACAAGAACGCGCATCAGATAACGACGGACCTGCTTTGGCTTTGGAGGCCTCTCACTCTTCTTAGAGATGGCGCATCGTGTTGGGTGTTGGATCTTTTTCGAGAAGATGGCAATGAAAATAGCGCTTCGCCGAGAACGGTACAAATTTTTTCGCCGACGAGTGAGAGGCGTCCAAAGTCGAGTATGCAAAGATCAGCGAAAAGCAGAACCGCCGTTGTGGAGTGACAGTGTTCTGATGCGTCTTTGTCCAGCGAGCGCTTTCTCATCCGCCTTTGTTGAATGGATGCGGGGGGCACCAGTGGCCGAGCCTGGGATGTAAGTATTCCAGGTTCATAATTAGTGTTCTGGCAGGAGCAACGCTTTTCTATACTCGTGAATATTTTTCCTATACCAATAGAAAAACTCAAAACTACGACAATCTTGTTACGCTTCATTTTTTAGGAGAAATCGGAATCGCGAGGAAAACACACGCTTTGTAGAGTCTGAAAATGTGATAAGTGATCATAACAATCAAGGTATAGACAGCCAGTTCTCGGACAGCGACGTTCATTCATTGCTACCTAAAAAAAGGTGAGAAACAAGGAAGCGGAAAATGCATGTTAGAAACGTCACACGTCACAGCCAAAACAAAGTACGGAGACATCTGATGGCGGTCCAATCTGCCCGCAGCCTGTGGCGGACAAACGTTAGCCTTACGATGGAGACGGCGCGCATGTCGTGGGCCAGGGCGGCGGCGTCCACCTCGTCCTGGTCGGCAGCGGCGGCGGCCGGCACCGACGGCCCCGAGCCGCAGCTCGAGTCGGACACGGACCGCGAGGGCGCGAACCCGCCGGGGCCCGGGCTCCAGAACCCGGACGACGACGACGACGATAGCGGCGACCCGCACTTGGGGCCGGCGGCGACCTGGTGGTGCGCCTGGTGGAGGTGCTGCTGCTGGGCGCCGGCCTGCAGCGGCGGGGGCGGCGCGGCCTGAGCTTTGCCGTGCCTGCAACACACACACAAGGGGAAAAATAGTCATTTCCGGCCAGCCAGCCATCCCATCCCATCATCACCCCACTTGAAAACAAGAGAACAAAGTTTAGGAAGCAAAGAAGAAAAACATTGCATTTAAAAAGAAAACACTCTAAATGCATGTTTATTTGGTCCACAAAAGAAGTGACGTTTTTACCCGCATCCAATGATACGCCAAATTGTACCGTTAGAGTGCACAATTTTTAAATTTTGCTAAAGTGGACAAACTTTTTTCCTATTTTGAGTACACACGAAGAGCCCCGCCGCAACCGCTACGCAGTGTTGCCAGAAAGTTAGGCAAAATTCCCGCGAGTACACCTCGCCTGCCTACTAGGCAACATGTTTACACCCGTGCTAAGGAGTTGCCAAGTAGGCAGGCGTCGATGCAGCCCGCTCCACACAGGTGTATTCGCGGGAAATTTGCCTAAACTTTCTGGAAACACTGCCGCTATGTGCCGAAGCGAGTACACATACATACTATTCACAGAATACACTGAAAACGCAAGTGTGTGAAAGTCACACACTGGTGTGTGAATGCCCATTCGTACAATTAAGGAGTAAAAAGTGTGGATTTTCTTTAGAAATTCCCACAACCTTGCCTTTGTACGAATGGCGTTCATACGCCTACAAGTGTGCGACAAGCACACACTTATGGGTTTCCGGTGTACACAGAAGGTATTCAAAAAGGAACGAAAACACGGTCGATACTCAGGGAGATTGTGCATACATGTACACACTTGGGTTGGCAGAGTGGTTGTTGCGGGCTCCTAATTTACTGGGCGATAGAAACAGAAACGTTCCATTACGGGGAACGTCAGGAGGACAAACAAAAGAAGAGCGCGCGACGCACGTCACGCTGTTTAGCATGAGAGTCAGTGTGTGACAGCGAGGTGGGGGCACTCACCGGCTGAGCTGGGGCGGGCCC